CCCTAGTGTTGAGGTTTTCTGGGTAATGATATTGAAGAAGAAAGGGACTGAATTTTGAACCTAATCCTAGAGAAGCTTTCTGCTTTAGCTAAGATTTTGATAAAACTGGGGCAGGGGACCTAAATTCCCAAACGTAGGACCCTTGTCAGCAAAAGCAGCCCTCTCAGGAAGAAGTGATCCCATTAGTTCTAGAAGAAAGAATTGAAGAAAAAGGAACTAGAGTAGAGGAAAAAAAAAAAAAGGAACTAGAGTAGAAGAAAGCAATCTCTAGTAGAGTAGGTGCTAGTGAGAAAGGGATTTTATCCAACGGTCCTTCTCTGCCCCTTGTGCAGGATGGAGGAAGAGTCTTACAACCATCTCTTCATTCACTGCAATTTTACTTACAATATTTGAATTTTTTTCTTCAAGGCCATCTCTTACCAATGATGCATGCTGGGTTCTGTTCAGGCTTTGTTATAGGATTGGAAAGTAATTGGAATGGATAGGAAAGGCAGTTTTTTTGGTCTACTATACCCTTGGCCGCATGATGGTTTGTTTGGATGGAAAGTGTTAAGATGTGTCGAATAGGGGTAGTTTAGTCTTCTTYTGTTTATTAAGTAACTTGCTTATGTGGYTGTGTTATTAGAGTTACTCTGCCCCACACTTAAGTAAGGRCATTTCTRTCTTTGTAAACAWGATTAGAAGCTAATATAGATTAAGGGGGTCGACTGAATGGGTCAACCATCAGATTTTCGACTGACCCCTCTTCTTCTCTTCCTCTTCTTCTTCTTCTTCTCCTCTTCCTATTCGGACTACTGTAGCAGCAGTCGAAATAGAAAGGAATTCTTGGGTTTTTGAGCAGAAAAATATCCCTGTGAAAGAGTGACTAATGTCATTATTGAGGCTCTAAGGCAGTGATTATCATTTAGAGCTCACTTTAAGGAGAATGATTTTTCTTCTTCCTTTTTGGCTGTAAACTTTTTTGAGGATAATACTTGTGGCTGTACAGATTCTCATTGTCCATCAATTCTTCTCACATACTAGAGATTCTATTGGGCTGACTAGTGTGAGAATGTTGGGTTAGTTTTTGCTGTTGCATTTATTGTATGACCAGATTTTTTCAAGAAAGTGAAATATGCAGAGACGAGGGGAAGAAAAAATGGGAGAATGGGTTGGGAATATTTGTGCCCCACACCCTCCCACATTGTATTTTCAATTATGTGAAAAAGACAGGGCAATGCCTTCTAAAGAAGGATAGTGACAAATACAAGAGAATAAGAAGTTGCAAGAAGAAATCTCAATAATATCTTTACTCGTTTACATCTCAACAATCCCCCTCAAGTTGGAGCAAAGGTATTTATCGTGCCTAACTTGCTGCTCTTGTAGACATAATTTTGCTACACCTTTAATAGGGATGCCGGCCAATTATAACTAGGTCATAATGTAATGGAGACATGGAGTATAAATTTGTCCATTGAGAACTTTCTCCCGTATAAAATGGTGGTTTACCACTATATGCTTCGTACAAGTAGAAAAACATAATAGGACTTCCATTACTATTTGGAGAATGTGATTCTACAATGTTTTGACAATTATCACACCTCACATATCCACTGAAGCATCTTAGTTGACTTGAACTAAGAAGTAAATAATAATTTTAATGACAAATGATAATTGGTTCAAGTCTCTATGCCACAAACTGGACAATACAAATGGATCGATCTAATTGATGTAACAGGAGATAGTGACATAATAGTAAGTTGATAGAGAACATCCAGGAGATAGTGACACAATATCTGATGCATAATGAAAAGGAAAGAAAGTTATGGAACAATTCAACCACTTTGTTGTACTAGTAATAGATATAAGATTGGTGGAAAACTTTGGAACATGCAACGTAGATGGAAAATATATGAGGCATGACATTAATAATTCCTTTTTCTTAGATAAACAAAAATGGAACCATGAAGGAGATGGTCTCACTCTGTCACTAGAGGATGATGAAGCAGTGGGAGCATTCTGTCAAGTGGATTCACTTAAGGTATCTCATCTCTACTAGCATTATTTTCTTTCTTCTACTTTCTAAACCTTTGTGGTTGTCCATCGAGATCCCAACATGTGTCCTTAGTCTTCAGAAATGCACTGTATTGTCTGGTTTATGGAAAGCTTGAGTATGTGTAGGAATCCATTAATATATGCATCTTGTATGTAGTCTTGGGGGCTGAAGGGAGCTAAAATATTCTGTTTTCTTTGTTTATCAATACTTTTGTAGGGAAGAAGATGACTGAAGTTATATTGGTCATTTTCATTGTTTTGTAGAGTGCTATATAATGGAAAAAGGTTGGGCATATGTAATGATTTGATTCGTTGCTTTGGGCTATCAAGGCACACAATGTCAAGGTTGAGAGCTGTACCTTCACTGAACGTCTATCGTGCCTCAGCTATTGCCAATAAGTATTCTATCTTCTTATTTTGCAGATTAAACTTGACCATCACAGATTTACTGCTCTAACTTCATTAGACGGTTACTATCATATCATTGCTTCTATCAACTTTGTAACATGTACCTTAGAAATTCTAATGGAAAAATAGAATTATGTAATTTTGTAGATTAACTACTTGTCAATTTGCAATAAATAACAACATATTTATTATTTATTGAAAAAAATATATTATCTACAAAACTTACTTCACAGTATTAATTTTAAGAAGTTACATAATGATTAGGAATCATATTAAGAATTTAAGATTAAGTTGACTTTGTTTTTTATAATATACAATAGTAAAACAATAAGATATGGAATAATTCATTTAGTAATTAAAATATAGTTGTCTTGTACACTTTGATTTGTGGATTTTTTACATTCTCATGGATCTAATATATGTTATAGATTGACCATATTTTTTATAATTATTAATTGATAATTCTACTTAAATAAATAAGAACATATTTACATTAAATAATTTGATGATAAATTATTGTATGTTATTTACATTTCCTGATATATTTATGATAATGTATTTTTTCATATAAATTATTAAAATAATTTTGGCATGTATTTGTACTTTATTTATAGTTATTCAACTATAACTTAATGTAGTGGGATTTGAGTCTACTATGATGCTAAAAAGGAATGATACTTGAAAACTAATAACTAATCAACCGGCACCATTGAAGAGTGGTAACCAATCTAACTGGTATTCATCAAAATTCATGGAGAGAGGGGGTTTGATTAATCGAAGTTCTTCTGTTACCTTACACTTCCGGCATCAAATTGCCATGGGATTTATGAGAATTTTCTTGACGTTTGGTATTGGCTATCGTGAAACATATTGCACCACATCCATGTACATCTATTGCATATCGTGAAAAATATTAATTTCCTACCTTACCGATATACTTTGCAATACTAATATTTTGAACTTTGGTATTGGCTAATGGTCTAATACATTGGATAAAGATGGAATACACTAGATTGTCTAAAGCTTATACCTTGCAGATAATCTTTTCATTCACCAACTTTGATTGTTTAAAGCTTATGATTGTTCTAATTCGACCGTGCGACTTCACCATATTACCTTTGTTCCCATTCTGTTCTTCCATTCTTCCATTTATCATTATTTTCTATTTATCCATGTTTTGGTGTTTCTACTTCAGGCTCGGTACCCAGTTCCATGGTTTTTGAGATGCCATGATCCACTGAACATGGCGTAAACGCTTCTGTTTTCCACCTAACCGAGAATTTTTTAGACACCCTTGAATTGGTATTCAAAGTTTCAAACCAGGCCTATATGCTTATCGTATTGGGGCCTTCCCGATACACCCCTATAGAGGGTGTATCAGGTCAGGCCATGGTTCAAAGGGTAGCCGGGACTTAAACTGATCCTTCTGAATTGGTTTGAAAAAAAAAATAAATAAAACATAAAAAGAACACCATTACAGGCCGATACACCCTACCTGCATATTGGCTTGTATTGATATTTAGAACCTTGATTCTAATTAATTTTTATTTTGGGATAATAGCATATAATGGCAACTTTTGGGGTTTAATATCAATAAAAGTAATATATTTAAAAAAATTTCAAAAATAGGTTAACTTTTTAAAAAATAATATCAATAGAGGACAAAAACACTATTCATCTTCTTCTTCTTGTCATTTGTTCACCAGAGCCATCATCTGCCACCGCCCAGCGCCGTCCGCCGCCGCCCACCACTACCTGCCACCGTCGTCCGTTGCCGCCTGCCTCCGCCTCTGCCTCCAGCAACATTGCCGGAGGTGGCCGGAGGCAGAGGTGGTGGCAGTGGCGCTGGTGGTTTCTCTGTCCAACGCTTCCACTTCTGCCCACCTTCGCCTCCGCCTCCGACAACATTGTCGGAGATGGGTGGAGACACGCCGCCACTTCTGCCCACCTTCGCCTCCGCCTCCAGCAACATTTCAGAGATGGGTGGAGACAGGTGGTGGCAACGGTGGGCAGAGGAATGACCACCAGCGCCGCCACCACCACCTCTGCCTCCGGCCACCTCCGGCAACGTTGCCGCCGGAGGCAGAGGTGGTGGTGGGCAGCAGCGGACGGTGGCAGACAGCAGCTCTAGTGAACAAATGGCAAGAAAAAGATGAACAGTATTTTTGCCCTTTATTAATATTATTTTTAAAAAGTTAACCTATTTTTTAATTTTTTCTAAATATATTACTTTTATTGATATTAAACCTCAAAAGTTGCCCTTTACGCTAGTACCCTTTTATCTTTGACGTTTTATATTACAAACGGATTGACCCATTCGGACTGGACAGCTGAACTGCTGACCCAGAAATCAGTGGTCAAAGTGGCTCCGTTTTCAGGTCAGCTTTTAAAACCTTGCCCAGTTAAACCAATTCAGCTATGAGCTATTTAGAGTTTTACAATCCTAAACCTGGCTTGGTTGAAGTGCAGACTGAAGATTAGCATACAATATCCTTGGCATGATAACATGTGCAAGTGATCAAAGTAAAACAATTTTTCAGCTTACAAAAGGGATCATATGCTGATCGAACCAGTTCAGCTGCTCTCTATTTCATGGATATTCAGGTCATCGTCAAGAATTAGTGTTTCAAGGTATCCTTTGACAGATAGACGGGTGCTTTACATAGTTCCGTTATGTATTCCAAACACCCATCATCTTTTTCACACAAAAAAAAAACAGTACTTCACAACCGACCCATGCATAGAACGGATAAAGATTGCTACAAATAAAACGCATACATGATACAACTCATGGTTTTCTTTGATAAATATTTGCACATTCCTTGCCATGGTAGACTTCGTCATTTGTTTATATCAGGACGGTGCATGATGTGGCACCAAGTGATCAGCACAAGAATATCACACGGCATCCTCTTAAAAGGAACCAACCCCTTCTCCAGACAACAGTAAAGCCTAGCTCACAAGACAATCACCCTAACTTCAACTATTGATTCTAAAGAATGCAAGGGGAAAAACCTTTGCATCATCATGCTTGGTCAATCACTAGAATCAATGCTTCCACTGTTCGAACTGCTGGCATTGCGACTGTGCAATGAGAGGCCCCTCATGTGACCCATCAATGCCGAACCATCCCCCCTTTTCTCCTGAAAGAATTTCTCCCTCTCAATGTGCTTGGCTGGGGGAGGAGGGATGACAACAGCTGGAGAAGGTGCAGTAGGCTCTCTTGGTTCCAAAGACAATGGGCGTATTAGTGGACGATTCAGCCTTTCTGCCTGAATTGATCCAAGTAAAATAGAGGAACGGTCCAAATGATCCTCATCCTCAGGTCTTGCACAAGCTTTTCCTTTCCGAATTCTGCAAGGTTGCATTAGTAGAGGAAAATATGTCATAAAGACATATATCATTTACCAACTAGGAGAGGGTGCAATGCAATAGTACAAGTAATATGTCCTCCAGGAAAATGAGAAATACATAGTGCTCCCACTGGATTATCATCTAATGGGCCATTGTAAAACAGTCAGCAGTTATGTCTGGGTTTTGCCTTACACTGACAGATAAAGCAACCATACAATAGTACCTACAGTAATGGCTCATTAGCACCGCAGGTGGGGTTTTACACCCATCCGAATTACAGAATATCAAAATCTGTATATCATGATATTAGGTCATTTTAATTTGCAAGGCCACAATATCTCATTATGATGTACTGTGGGATTCATAGGATTCCAACTCACTTGAAACACTTTGACTCCTGAACTAATGTATGTCAGAGGAAGTGCTACACATTCTACAATATGTTATGTATGTCAAGAGGAAGTGCTACACATTCTACAATATGTAATGTATGTCAGAAGCAAGACAAGGAAGTGGAGCTTTCATAGATGCCCACATTGACAAATGCCAGCTTTTCTAGAAGCCCAATTCAACAAATTTACAGTTTGTTGCTCTTGACTACTTGGCCACTCTCCCCTTTTGTTAGAAAATGTGTATCTCCTCAAATCCAACATATGTATTGTACATATTTTATTATAAATAAAAGAACATTTATTTCATGTGTCATTGGGTTGTTTTGCTAAATTTCCCCTTAGTTCATATTAGTTTTATTTATGAGACCACATAATTGTTATAATGTAGACTTAAATGTTTACAACTAGTGGATAGGCTTGGGGAATCTATCCTAACAAGGTTATCATTCTCACATTGCCCAAGGTAGTGGAGCAATGGGTCTCAGTTGCTCGGGTTGTGACTTAAGGTGTGAGAATGAATGTTTACTAGAAACATTGAACTGGACTGAACTCAAATGTGTTCCTGGACACAGGTGGAACAATTATGCGTTGCTTTTAATCCCTAGACCTGATATTGGTATCAGATTGAGTAACAGACTTGTCTATCTTGATATGCCAATTAGTAAGATCCTTTTGGGGTCAAATACTTGGGTATGTTGAGGTATTCAAAGATGGTATGTCAATTGATGATCAATGTGATATGATCTGCTACTATGTTAGGAAATAGGGAATACTTTGTACAACTTCCTCTTTGGATTCCTAAATCTACCAGTAATAGGATTATCTGGATCCTCAATAAAGGATACATTGGTTTTGGAAGTTGGAAACCATGTGGTAAAGACAAAGAGGGAAAAAAAAATCCTTCCCTTAATATGGTGCCAAGCATTATTAATAGAGAGATTAAGTGCAAGTGATGGATTGGGCTTCCTAGAGACCAATTGCGTATATGCAACCTAAACAAGAGCATGGAGGAATATCTAATACTATTTATTATTATGGGCATAAAGGAAACCTCAGTGACTCCTGATAGCTCCCAAATACAAGAGAATCCATGAGTTAAACATAAATCAAAATATACCTCCTAAAAAGACTTTCAGCCTCCTCTTCCTCCTCTGCTTCATGGCAAAAATGAGTGGCAGTAGATGGTGCCCGAACTGAAAGAAGTGCATCATGTCTGACCAGCACCTTTTGCAGCTGATCATTTAGTTCAATTGCTTGAGAAACCATTCTCTCATCTCTGCAAAAAATTACAAATATAATATAAGTAGAATTCATGAAAAACCATAAAGGCATTACTTGCTGGATGTTTCATTGTATTGCCAATGATGGTTCGAAGTTTTAATTTTGATAGGCATTTCACCATATGAAAATGGAAAAACTTTCAAAAGTTTTGTTCAAATATCTAGAAAATCTGAGGAAATTTGGAAATATAAAAAAAGAATATGGAATTTATTTATAGAAATTTAAGAAATGCTAAAAACGATTCATGCAAAAACCAAGTTCAGCTCTTCTATCCTAACTCCACTTTAAGTTTCTTTAAGATGATATCTTAAATTGAGTCCATATTATTAAGACAGCTTTATATACCAAAAGCCTAATTCATGTTGTTGATTTGAAGGTATAGAATAAATAAATCCAAATAATCTTTCCATAAGTTTATGTAAAAGATGTGATTTGAAAATTTTCTATGCATCATGATTTTTTTTCTTTTGCGAGCATAGCTTGTGGGTTTCTTTAAAAATCTAAAGAAGGCAATAGTATGTCTTTCATGACCATAATGCGAGCACTCCACCACTGCTGCTTAACTGTAACTTCAAAAGTGATGGGCTTATAGATATTATTCACATAGCTCCAATCTCATCATCTCAGAATATGTTTTCATGACCGTAAACCTTTTAATGTTTTAACCCTTGTAGGCTAAAAAATGACTGAAACAATTGATAGATACGAGAAATGTTGTTACTCCCAAAATATGTTTTCTTTTCCTGCTCTGATATCCATCTAGAATGTATCGAAGCAAATTATGCTACTACAAATCTTAGGTTCCAATGAGTTCCAAAACTAAGTCCAAATCTGGGCATCCTCCTGTACCATTCAAAATAATGGAACTACTAGATTTTGACAATTCTGTCCTTCTGTACAAAAGTGCCATAAAATTACAAATGTTTTGACCTCAACCAGAAAATGAGATTTATATTAGCAAGTGTAAATGGACAATTCTGTCATGCACACCTAGAAAATAAAGTGTCTTATGACCACACCATATCAGAGAACAGTTCAAACAGGGCAGAAAACAGATATGTACTGTTTTAGTCCATATAGGGTATGTTACAACAGTTATCCTTATGTACAAAAGTACCATAAAATTCCAAATCTAATTCTCATCTCACTACAGAATATGTGTTGCAGACATGATAAGCTTTGTCAAGTGGGGATCACTTGTTTAATATGGAAAATTTTCCATCTCCAATTTGCAGATGAAATGACCAAATTTCCCAAAGAAGAATATAGTGGGGAACAGTGATTTTTAAGATACATCTGTGATGCTACAATCCTAAACAAAGTGGAATGGAAGAACTATATTCATCAGTCATCTACATAATCACAATGTTTGGGATAAGGCTTCATTGACTAATCAAATGATGATTTCTGTCTTAAGGAATCACTTTATTGTTATTTTTTATTGGAAAATCTTCTCAGTTATTATAATGGTTGCTTCTTCCTATTTCTTTACTTTTTATCTACTTCAGTGTCATTTATTAACTTTCCTAATATGTAGTTATATGCTTTTTGACAATCTAGCAAGTTTCTTATTTTGAAAAATACAAGGGAAGAAAACAAAATCCCTGAAAATTGTACATGTATTAATTATATACATTAGCAAGAAATGAAACTGTTAAAAGAAATGGCCTAATAAACCCTCCATTAAGTGGTTGCAGATCACATGGAGGAATTGGCAAGACCCACCTGTAGAGATAATGGACTGAATGAACCTTAGTTTCTTTGTTTTTCTTTAAGTTATATTTATGACTTGTGTTAGTAGGTAGTAGGCCTTAGTTATGGGCCTGTTTTCTCTTATTTATTGTTTTTTATTGCTGTCTTTAGTGATGGACGCCCTACTAAAGGAACTCATGTAATTGTCCTTATTTTTTACAACAAAAGAATAAAAGAGATCATTGGGAGCTGAAGAGAGGTTTTGGACTACTCTCTCTTCTTTTTCTTCCATCTTCTTCCTCCATCACTTCTCTCTCTTCAATCTCCTTTTCTCCTGTTTCTTTTCTTTTAATTCAGATAATTGTAGGTGTGATTTACAACTACCAATTCTAAGAAGATTAGATAGATTTCTATTTTCTGGTGATTGGGAAGAACATGTAGGAGACCTGATTCAAGAAGCCTTACCTTTCCTCATGTCAAACCATAAACCAGTTTTGCCGAGACAGTTTGTAGCAATTGCTGGTCCAAGACCTTTTAAATTTGAAAACATGTAGTTGGACTACCCAGATTTTTAAGAATGGGCAGAGGAAAAATGGGAGGGTTTCCATGTTGAGGGTTTGGTGGGTTTCAAACTGGCTAGAAAATTACAGTTGCTAAAAGAAGTGGAATAAATCAGTGTTTGGAAGGGTAGCAATTAGGAAGAAGGAGATTTTGGAAAAATTGGTGCGGCTGGACAACATGGAGGAAGACATGCTTCTTTCGAGGGAGGAGAGGGTGGAAGGAGAAAGATTGGATTTAGATTGAAAACCTAATCTATAGAGAAGAGGAGAGCTGGAGACAAAAATCCAAAATGATTTGGCTAAAAGTAGGAGATAAAAATATGGCTTTCATTCACGCTTATGCCAATGCAAGGAGGAGAAATTTCATCTCAAGAATTCAGGTGGAAGGAGAGATGGTGGACTCATGGAGTGAAATTCAAGAAAAGGTGGTTGGCTTTTACAAGGCATTGTACACCTCAAAAAATAGAAGGATGTCACTCGGAGAGCTAATACCAAATAAGTTGAGTGAAAATTCAGCAACCTGAATTGAGAGAGTTTGGTTTGGAGGAAGTCAAAGATGCTCTAAAAGGCATCATTGGGGCGAATGTTCAAGGAGTTCCATAGAGAGAAGACTTTAGAGAAGATGGTGAATACCACCTTCATTTCCCTAATTCCTAAGAAGGGGCAGTGGATTTGAAGGACTTTAGGCCAATAAGCTTAATCAGCAGCCCATACAAGTTGGCTAAGGTTTTATCCAAGAGACTGAGATATATGCTTCATGAGGTGGTTGGGGAATCTCATATGAATTTTGTAGAAGGGAGGCAAAGTTTTGACAGGGTTCTAGTGGCAAGTGAACGCATTGACTCCCGCCTGAGGAATAGTAGACTAGGTTTGGTGTGTAAGATTGATTTTGAGAAGGCCTATGACCACGTGGAGTGGGGTTTCTTAGAAGAAATCCAAAGTTTGATGGGGTTTGGGGAGAAATGGAGGGCTTGGATGTTTTCTTTTGTGTCTATAGTCTTGTTCTCAATATTGATGAACAGAATTTCATCAGATTTCTTTCAGGCTTCTAGGGGATTGAGGCAAGGAGAACCTGTGTCTCCTTTGCTGTTTGTTATGGGTGATGGAGATTTTGAACTTGCTGCTAGAGAGAAGTCAAATGGGCTTAATTGATGGCTTTAAGGCAAGAGATGGACCTCGCATTACTCATCTGCAATATGCACATGAAACTCTAATTTTCTTAGATGCAAAGGTGGAACAGATGCTAAACTTGAGGGCAGTTTTGGAAAATTTTGAGCTGTTATCAGGGCTAAAGATAAATCTCTCCAAAAGCACTATAATAGCAGTTGGAGAGGTAGGGAGGGGAGTTTTGTTGGAGTGTGCTGATGCCATGGAATGCAGAATTGGTGAGCTTTCATTCACATATCTAGGAATGCCGATTGTTGGAGCAGTGAAGTCATTGATAGAGGTTAGATGGGTGGAAAGCTAAGTATTTATCCTTGTGGGGTGGGGGNGGGAGAGGAGAGGGTTGGGGATAAGGAGAGTGAGAAATTTTAACAGGGCCTTATTGGGGAAATGGCTTTGGAAATTTAGTTTAGGGAGAGAGAACTCATTGTGGAGGAGGGTTGTGGTTGGTAAGTATGGAGTGGTGAGATTCAGTTGGGAATCAAGGGAGATGAGGGCTTCCTATGCGGTGAGTGTGTGGAAGGGAATCATGACTTTTAACAAGGAATTCAGAGATCAAATTAGCTTTGCAGTCAGGGATGGGCCTAAGATCAGATTTTGGAGGATGACTGGTGTGGGGTGGGTAAGCTGTGTGAGTTATGCGCAAGACTATACAGGTTAACAGGCTGAAGTAGATATCAGTGACTGTTATGAAAGGAGGGGGATCAGTTGATATAGAGTCCGAAATTCAGGAGGCTTTTAATGAATAGGGAAGTTGAAGAATGCATCTCTCTTTTAGAGAAACTAGAGAGTGTAAAACCTGCAACTCATCAGAGAGATGAGCAACTGGTGGAAAGAAAGCAAGAATGGAAAGTTCTCAGTCAAGTCGTGCTATATGGCTATCAGCAGGACTGATTAATATTCAAGTCATCTTAAGGGAATCTGAGGAAACCCAGTCTCCCCAAGAGTTAAGGCTTTGGCTTGGCTGATAGCAATGGACAGCATTTTGACAGCTGATCACTTGAAATCCAGAGGTTTCCATATGGCTAGCAGATGCTGTCTTTGCAAGGAGCAGGAGGAAAATGCTAATCACCTATTTATATCCTGCAAGTTATCAGGATTCTTGTGGAAAAGTGTTTACACCAATGTTCGGGGTCTCTGGATTTCATCCAACTTCAACGGCAGAGATTTTCTCTACTTGGCCTAGGCTGAGTGGAAGTATGAAGGTGAAGGTGTTATGGAGTTGCATCCCATTTGCAGTATGCCGGAACATATGGAAAGAAAGAAACAGAAGGATTTTCTAAGACAAAGCCTTTAGGATGAACAAGATGGTTGCGGTTGTAAGCAGACTAGTGGCAGATTGGGTGCTGATTCACCCAGATTTCAGACAGTTAGAAAAGGACTTGGGAAATAGGTTAGGGGAGGTCCTGGGTTTTCAAATATGTAATGTGGAATTTGCTCATTAATCTTAAGTTGGTCTTTGTATTTGGGTGATGACTTTCCACCCTTAATCTGTAATCTCTTTTTTCCTTAATAAAATTTTTATTTACTTATCAAAAAAGAAAAGAAATGAAACTGATGTGAAATTGGTTCAAGGGTGTTCAACCAATATCTAGACTTAGGTCAGGAGGGACACTACCATGCTACAACATGTGGTAAAAGTTGCTAAAGCGAACAATGCAATTCAAGTAACTCAGGATCTATTCCCAGAAATCATTTACAAATAATACCCTTACCGAGAGGTCATGACAAGATGCATTACTCGCTGCTTTTGAAATGAACATTGTTCTACAAGATCCAAAGTGAACTCATCTTTTGCTGCCTACAAAACAATCCATAAGCAATCAATAAATATTGATTACAAATTGCATAAAGTCCATGAATCAATCAAGTAGAAAAGCAGGCCAAGCTGGGCAATATATAAGCACATTTCACAGCATACCTACACTAATCTGCCAACATATTTTCCCTCAAGATAAAATCTTTTTAGTAAAATCAATCAATAAAAATTACTTCAGGTGGCCTAGAAGATCAGCACATAGACTAGCTGATACTAGCAAAACAAGGGACTACTAGGGAGGAATTTTTTGGGCCATTTTGTAATTCTGAGATACTTTGAGGGGTCAACATCCCAACAGCTGCACATTGATAATCCTTTATTGAATGAAAGTTACTGTTTCCAATAAAAAAATCAATCAAAATTTCCTTGAAGGGGTAACCTGTCTTATCCAGTCTGTTAACCAAAATTTGAGAAATCAGTATGGAAAAGAGAGGGACATTGAAGATGAGGTGGCATTCCCAAGGGACAGTGGTGTAATTACAGTATTGAGACACATATAGTTAGTCATGGCAAGGTTTTAAAAACCGACCTGGAAATGGAACCATTCTAGCCACCGGTTTTCAGGTCAGTGGTTCAACCATCTGGGTCGAACGGTTCAGGCGGTTTAGTCTTTTATTAAGAGAAAGAGACGTATATGGTTGTTGTCACTCGGGTAAGAAAGAAAGAAAGAAAGAAAGAAAGAAAGAAAGAAAACAAGAAAAGAATGAAAGAAAGAAAGAGATAAAGGAGGGAGGGCAGAAAGGAAAAAAAAAAGGAAAGGAAGGAGGAGGAGGAGAAGGATCATACATTCACTGGCGAAGGAAACAACAATGGCAATAGAAACGCAACATCCGAGCATCAAATCTCTCTGATCTCAGATCTTACATCTGATTTCACTGTGATCTTAATCTCTCTCTCTGGGATGATCTCAGATCTGAGATCATTCTTGTCTCAGAGATCATTTCTTCATTCTTGTCTCAGGCCATCGTATTTGAATCTCCTCTGCCTCCTTGTTAAACTGGGAACCGCTGTCTGGATCGAATGGGTTGACCGCCCAGGTCAGCAGTTCTTTGACCAAATCAATTGTTTCTAGCCCAGGAATGGGTTAAGGGTGAAACGGAACTGGTTGCCTGGACGGTTTTTGGGCCAAATGGTCTGACCATCCGGGTCAACGACGGTTTGAAAACATTGGATCATGGTGTCAAAAGGACACAAAATCATATGGAATTCCAAAGTAGTTTTTAAATATAGCAAAAATGGAAGAACAAAGGAACATGGTATTGCAAATAAGAAAGGCATGAGTTGGGTTTTAGAAGAACTGTATATTGTTGGAATGAGAAAAATCAGAAAGTTCAGTGAATCAAGATGCAATTTGGAGAGTCAAATATGTAGCGATAAACAAGAATACTTGAAAGCCAACAAATGCAAGAACTTTATAAAGCTGAATTTTGATGGCAGCAGTGTAAGGAATCCAGGGCCCTCTGGGATTGGAGGAGTCTTCAGGAATGAGGAAGRGATTGTTATTGCTTTATTCTCTGGCCCTATTGGAGAAGGTGACTCTCTTAGGGCTGAGATCCTTGCAGCGCTT